CGTCTGGTCAGGCCACCGCCCAGGAGGGCGCTCCAATGAGTTCGCCAGCCCGCCAGGATAATCTCGGCGCCGCCTCAGCTGCCGCGGACGACCGCGAGACCCCCCAAGCGAGAGCCCACCCACTTCAAACGAGGAATGCCCCGCCGACATCCCCTCTCCAAGCGTCGATGGACCAGCCTTCGCGCCGGCTTCCTCGCGATCTGCGGCCGATTATTCGAGCTCGCCCCAGCTTCTGTTCGCAATCTCACGAGGAGGCACAGCAGCCTGCACGCGAGTCCATCGCATATCAGGCGGGCGGCCCACGCATACTTCACGCTAGTAGCGCGCGCGCGCCGCGTGGACTCGCAGCGCGGAGCACATGCATATGATTCAGCACGCTCTGGAGCCGCCCAAGCTACCTCCACGGGCAGTGGGCCCGCACTCGGTGGCCCTTCGAGCGCGCCATAACGATCACTGTCGAGATATGGCACTACACGATGCGGCGGCGAATTGGCCAGAGAGGTTGCAGGTGGCACGTCGCAAGCTGGCGGTGCATCTCGAGCGCGGCGCAGGCCCCAGTCAGGTCGAGTCGCCCCCGGCAGCATGGCGCTAATTTGGAAGGCACCCCCCAGGCAGCGCCAGCAAGTATGCAAGCACATCACCCAAGGCATCTTCACGCACGCCTTTCCTGAGCTGGAGTTCATGGTTGGAGGCCCTGCAGTCTTCAGCCGATCTGTCATCAGCTCACTTCTGGCAGGTGGCCAGCGAAGCCAGGCGGATTGCAGGAAGGGCTCGCCATCATGCCGTCACTGCTTCACTACGGGAGCTCAAGCAATGAATGTCGGACAATGGCAGTAAAGAAGCCACCTTTCGAGCTACGAAGCAGGCACCCACCACTTCCAGCGCAGGAGTTAGACTGCGTTCACCCAAAGATATGGTCGATCGGAGCACTGGCATCAGCTCTGGACGTCACGTCATCAACCTACGATGTTGGAATTTCATGCTATGTCTGAGAATACCAGATGGCATTCTGCAGTGGAGCCCCTGGCCCCTCTGATTGTTGAGGATATCAGGGCGGCCCTTAAGCGCATGAAGCCCGGGGCAGGCAAAGGGGTCGATGGGTTCTCTCCTGTCGACCTGGAGAGCCTTCCCGACAGTGCGCCTGCAGAGCTTGTCACCATTTACACCATGTGCGAGCAGTGTCAGACCTGGCATTGGAAGCTCCTGCCTGTGCTGGTCGCTAGCTGCCCAACAAGAGTTCGGGCAATCGGGTCCTGGGCCTCGTTTGCATTGTCTGCCGTGTCTGGTCGTTGCTCTAGAGAGCCGCTCATCCGGACTTGGGCAGGTTCTGATCAGCCAGACTGGGAGGCGGCCATTGTTGGCAATTCTTTTCTACGCGAAGCTTACCTTCGCGCGCTGGACGAGAGGCTCCACACCAAGCCTCAGACAGCGCATGGGAACGCGTTCATTGAGATTCATTCTTTATACGATGAGATGGAATGGGAAGTATTAGTCAAGGCAGCTATTCGGCATGGTACCCCCCCCGTCATGTGAGGACTGGAGTTGCAGACGCGTGCAGGTCCTCGGCCCCTTGATCAGGACGATGCTGTGCCTTGCCCTGTTCAGGGCATTCGTAGCATGATTCAAATTCTGAGAGGTGGTACTCGGCTCGGCCCCTGCATCGCCAGCCTGGCCACGACGCGCCTAACCAGTTGCCATCCCTCGCTGTCGGAACGAATCTGGACATATGACATATCACAGCACGCCGTGGGCTCTCGATCTCATGCGTGCAACGAGTTGGTGGAAGGGGTCGCAAACACGTCGCATCTGTTGGCTCAATACTCGCTGCAGCTCGCTCGGAAAAGCACAGTGGCATGTTCAGATATGCGGGGTACCAAGATCATTCAGCGCAGGCTCAGACAGCGTGGCACTACTATCCTTGCAGTTCCGTAGATGGCTGATCTGGGAGTGGATCTGGCGTCAGGCACACGGCTTGGCAGGGCAACTCGCAGGAAACGTTTCCTTGGCATCAAAGCTCAGCATCTGAAAGTGCGACAGTATGCCAGGTCGAGCCGGTGCCTTAAACCCTTGCAGAAAGTCGAATTGGCTGGAACACAGGCAGGAGCACGGCACGGCCATCAAGTGCACGGGCTTCCACGTTCGTCGCTGGCCCAGCAGAGAAGGAGGTTTGAAGCAGTTTCGGGAGGGCGCCAAAGGGGTCGGTGCCGCACCACCTTGCTCGACATCCGCGCTCCTGGCGCCGATCGAATTCATGCCGTCCCTAGGCAGTGCGTCGCCGGATGGCTGTAGGCGCGGTTGGAGGTTCCGCGAGTTCGCGAGCCCATCCAGCGAGTCTGGCATAGCACCGCGGCTGCTTTCCAGGCACGAGACCATCAGCGTAGAGCGCGGCACATCAGAGAGCCATTGATTGCAGTTATTCACTACCTCTTGGACGCAGGGTGGCACATGCCCGAGCCTCTCCTATGGTTCCCACCGGCTGGCATTCCAGGTCAGCATGATGGTTGGCAACTCGATGTATCTGAGTTCCAAACTTTGGACCAGGCTACGGAGCTGCTGGATACGTTCACGTCCTGTACTCAGCTCAGGCAGTGGCGATCGGCAGCCGAGTAAACTCTTTTGTGGTGGCGGGATGGAACATGTAGTCGGCAATGTCAGCCTTCGTAAGCAGCTGTATCGGTCAGAACAAATACCGACAGTTGGCAGGGGCTTGACACATCTGTTGTTGATTAGTTCGGTTGGCGGAGCGTGAACGGTTTCGCGGAAAACAAGCAACAGGACATGCATCGTTGCCCACACGCCAACGTTGCCAACAAGAACCAGAGACGCTATTTCATTGTTTCTGGGGCTGCAATTGCAACGATGGTTCGGCAGCATTCGAACTTCCCCAGTCGCTGGTCCACAAAGTGTTCACGCAGGGAGACAGTTTGGAATGCAACTGGCATCGTGGGCTCATTCCTTCGCGCGCGACAACAGTGGACCCACCCACGCAAGAAGAATTGTGGACAGTGGGCAACAACGAACCACTTGATCAGTCATATTCTGGCGTGGGATCCACAGATGCACCGATTTTTATCCATGGCGATGCCTCTGCCTCTGGCGGCGCTGGCACGCGCGATCCTCGAACTAGTCGAATAGGGCTGGCCGCGTCAGTAATTGGAGGTGCACCTGGGCCCGCCTCGCGCTTGCCCATGGGCCCCTCCCTGGAGGGCAGCAGACAGCACCGCTTGCAGGCGAGCGTCAGATGGTCGCCGGGCCCCATGGAGTCGGCGACGGACAATCAGGCGGCGCGCCGCGGCTGGCGGGAAGCACGCTACCAGCGACCCAGCGGCGCCAACCAGGACCTCTGGAGAGAGGCGGGTGCTCTTGCGGGCTCAAGGCCGAACAGCGCCCAGCTCCGCCGTCGCGAAGGTTCCTTCGCACATCGACGGCGAAGAGGCGCTGGAGCGCGGCCTCCCTGGATGGCCCAGCGCTGGGAGCGCGTTCGCGGGCCACCTGGCGGGGCCGGCGGCGCGGGAGGCCCGCGCGCCCGACGCCCAGCGCACCCGCGCGGCGCAGGCGGAGCACGAGGTGGCGCTCATTCGGCAGAGGTTGTTGCGAGCGACGCTCGAAGCCAGTATGCGCGATGTGAAAAGAGCCCATCGATCCGCCCCCGCGGCGCCCCGCCTCGCCCCCCCCGCCCCGCGGTCGCCGCTGCGTTTAACTCGCCCCGCGCTCTGGGGCATCGTGGACGGCGATGGAACGACGCAAGGGCGCGGCATCAGTGGCCGCCACGGGGGAGTTTTTAGGATCCGAGTGCTTTCCCATTGAGTTTCAAACGCCGGTCATTTCAAGGCTTCCCCGGGGTAGGCGTTTACATCTCGCCAGGGGTCGGGTCCATCCGAGTCGCCGCATGACGCATCACAGAAGCTTGTCTTTGTGGTATTGTGCGGCCTGCGGCTGTCATCGCCAAAAGCAGCTCAAGAATTTGGCTGTTGAGTGTTTGGCCCCACCCCATACCCCACGCACCAAATTCCGACGATAATATTTCGCTCGGATCGCCAGAGGTCTCACGCCTGAGATTCTCAGCAAGGCTGAGATAGCGGCGCGCGGGGTTTCATATTTGAACTCGTTTCGCGATCGGTCCTACCTCACCTTATCTCCTCCCCCTCGTACGCAACCCAGTGCAATGCAAAGTATTACACACGCATATGCAACGCAACACAAAACAACACAGTGCAATGCAATCCGCTCCAACGAACGCCACGCATTACAATGCAACCAGATGCAATGCAATACATTTCATCGCAGCACAACACTATGATCCGCAATGCAACGCAATGCACTGCAATGCAATGCCTCCTGCCCCCTCCTCCCCTGATTCTGGTGACGGACAAAATGCGTGAACCCCGCCGACCAGGCCTCCCCTCCCCTTTTCCCAGGGCCAGGAAAAATAAACACCCCCAACACCTGGGCCCCGACACGGCGTCGATTGGCCAATATGTCGGTCACCCCTCACACGAATCGTGCCGCCAGAGCTAAAAAGAATTGTTTTGAGGCATCGGAATAATTGAACCGCATGTTGAAATTATCTTCAACCCACCATAACAAATTGTTTTGAAACCCCACCCCTCGAGAGCATCCTCACAGTTCACTCAGAGACGAGGTTCCCGCTCAAGAGGTCCACGAGGTGACTGTGTGAGTACGTGAGCATGTGAGCGACTATGAATTTGATGATGGGAACCGATGGTTATTGGGAGATGATGGTAGTGATGATAATGGGGCGATGGTAGTGATGAGTATGAAGGAGGGGAGGGAGGGAGGAGGAGTGTGAGGGGTGTGAGGGCTGCGCGGAGCGTCATGGGAGAACAACAGCCCCACCGAGGATGTGGGGAACACATAGGGGGGAGAGAGAGAGAGAGAGAGGGGACAGGAAGGGAGAGAGACAGAGAGGATGAGGAAGAAGGGGGGAAGAGGTGAGAAGAAGGGGAGAAGGGGATGGACATAGGGGTGGGGTTGGGGAGGCGCGGCGGCCGGATCGTCGTCTTCGGACGGAATTACGAGTGCAACATCAAAGGCAAAAAGGGGCCCGCGGAGATCGCGCAGGGCAAGGCGACCGACGAAAGAAAACGGGGCCGTCTGCGCCGACATGCGCGCGCAAGCTGCCCGCATAAGGTCGAGTGCAAGCGCCCTCGGTTTCAATAAAGCGTGCCGCGCTGGCGGTCCGCGTAGGCCACCGCATAAGGTCGTTGTGTCGTCTCGCGTAAGACCCGTTGCTTTTCGTCGATCAGGTGACTGCGAGGCACCTCCGCGGCATCTTGAAGTGCGCCAGGGAGGGCGGCGCAGACGAGTCTTCGAACAACAGACTCAACAGGCCTCAGGGGCGCTGGGGAGGAGGGGGGCTGGCCTCCTCCCCCCTCCTGCCTGCTCCTCCTGTCAGGGGCAACGATAGGGGAGATACGCTCGAGGCTTTCTGGTCAGTTTCAAGACTTCCGGGTGTGTTCGTCGGTTCGCGGCGGTTTTCAAGCCGGGGGAGGCTCTCCAGCAGCTGCGCCTCGCCGAGAGCATTCCAGGGGTGCCCCGATCGTCCCGAACGGCCGCCACACAGCCGAGTTACGAGCCGACAGTCAGGAGGAGCATCAATCTCCAGCTGCCCATTCTTCACCGACTTGGGCTTGGGCGCCCCAGCTTGCCCAAAAACGTGAGGTTTTCCCATCGGGGGCCTTTCGCCGACCTATCCACGATGCATCATCGAGTCCAGGTCAATGTCCCCTCCCTGAGCCAGTCACCCTCTTCCGTCCCCCCTCAAGGCTGATCAGAGCAGCAGTCAGGGAAAACGTTCCGCGCGACACTATCTCGGGGAACAAACAATTACATAAACAGAAACTTTCGGAGGTCCGCGCGGATTTCTTGGATCGGCGTTGCGCCAGGGGCGGCGCCAGAAGCGCCGCCGGGGGGGTCCAGTTCAAGTCCAGAAAATCCGCGCGCGCCTCGGAAAGTTTATGCTTATGGCATGATTTATTCAAGTAGCTTAAGCCATTCCACCGACCCCCAGAGGAGAAACGAAGCCCATGGCTGAGGCCTTCTGCCTTTTGGGAACACTTTAAGGAGCCAATTGGGGCATCTTTTGGGCCTCTTGGAGGTTCAAGAAAGGGGGACAGAGAATCATAGCACGCGCCTTTGCACCCCCGGCAAGCGGGGGTCGGCGGATTCCTCGACTATCACGCGCAGGCTCAAGGCGTTGACCGAGACCAAGGAAGCCTTCCTCGAGCTGGAGATCTCGGGGGTCGGCCCGCAGGGCGTCGCGGTCGTTGTGAATGCGACCACGGACAACGCGGTCCGCTGCCGCCGGGACGTCTCGGAGACGTTCAAAGCGAGCGGCGGGAAGGTTCAGAGGAGGGAAAGGTGCCAATACCGCTACCCTCACCTCCGTTTCGCCATTTTCGGCATCCTGAGAAGTCTTCGTCACCACCACTGAATCCTCCGCCAAATTTGGGTCAGAACGCAGCCCTTGGGAGTTGCCTTTTGGTTTCCCCAGAAAGGTGGGGAACGACGGTTGCATGTCTCACATCTTCAGGGAGGAGGGCATATTCATATTCGAGGATGTCAGCGAAGATGCAATCATGGAGGCCAGCATGGAGGCGGAGGTGGAGGACGTGCAGGAGGTGGACGGGAAGTGGAAGTGCACCACGCTGCCCGAGAACTTCAATGCGGCGATGGATGCATTCGACGCAGCCGGCTTGGAGCCCGTCTCCAGCAGTGTGCAGACCGTGTCCGATGTTCCAGTAGTTCTGAACGAGGAGGGCACGTACGAGTGTATGCGGATGTTGCACATGCTGGACGATCTAGACGACGTTGAGGATGTGCACCACAATGCCATCTTGCAGGAGGGGGTCGAACTGGTAATGAACCAATATGGGTTACCCCTGAAGTGGGATAATCCAATGCGTGTGAAGAGTGCTGCTTGATTCGTCCCCAGTTATATCCTGATTATCTTCCTTCTCAACCTCTCCATACTCGTCGTCCACATCCTTCCTCCTCCCCGTCCTCCTTGTCTCAGGGTCGACGTTAGGGGCTGATAGGCTTAGGGGGCACGCGTCGACTCCAATTGAGCGCCGACAGGGGCCTGATAACCCGCCCCGCCCAGGAGCGTGCGGATTTGCTATCGCGAGCCTATCACAGATCTATAGGCAATGTATCGCCGAATCCAGCTCGGTATTTCCCCCTTGAGCCAGCCCCTCCCTAACGTCGCCCCTGCGACGGAAAAGAGTGTCCAGACACGCCAGAATCCAGAGGCCACGGTCTCACCCACTTGGTCTGAGGTAGGCCTTGATGCTTGTCCGCAGCGATGTTCGTTCGTTCGTTTGTTCTTCCTCCTCCTCCTCCTCCTCCTCCTCCTCCTCCATTCCTTCTCCTTTTCAAAAACCTCTCACTGTCGCACCCCGAGGCCAGTTTCGAGGGCGGGCCGGGCGTTTCGCCTGAGACTTCCTCAATATTTATGATTCCGGACTTAATTGGCAACAGCTTCACAGATGGAGGGCGGGCGGTTTTCAAAATATGGTTCTCGCCTGAGCGCCGAGAACATTCGTTTTTACCTAACAGCGAAGACTGATAGGTTTCTAGTGGGATCAAAAGAGAGCAGCAGATCACTCCACAGGGGGGTCCGGGCAGGTGTTGGGAGTTGCCGGGCGGCAGGTGCCGGGCTCGTTTTTCACCAACAGTCACACACTTCGTGCTCTTCGACTTCCCAGAACTCCATTCCCAGGCCACATTCTCAATACCCGGATGCAACAGTCACACACTTCGTGCTCTTCGAGATCCCAGAACGCCATTCCCGGGCCACATTCTGGAGGGCCGGATGCAACAGTCACACACTTCGTGCTCTTCGAGTTCCCAGAACTCCATTCCCGGGCCACATTTTGATGCCCGGAGCCAACTGTAGGCCACTTCGTGCTCTTCGAGTTCCCAGAACTCCATTCCCGGGCCACATTTTGAATGCCCGGAGCCAACTGTAGGCCACTTCGTGCTCTTCGAGTTCCCAGAACTCCATTCCCGGGCCACATTTTGAATGCCCGGAGCCAACTGTAGGCCACTTCGTGCTCTTCGAGTTCCCAGAACTCCATTCCCGGGCCACATTTTGAATGCCCGTAGCCAACTGTAGGCAACTTCGTGCTCTTCGACTTCCCAGAACTCCCATTCCTGGGCCACATTTTCAGCAGGGGCAAGAGCACGACGAGGAGGAGGACGAGCAAGACCAGGAGGACGAGGACGAGCAGGAGCAGGACGAGGAGCAGGAGGAGCAGGAGAAGAAGGACGAGCAGGAGGAGGAGGAGGAGGACGAGCAGGAGGAGGAGGACGACCAGGAGGAGGAGGACGACCAGGAAGAGGAGGAGGAGGAGGAGGGGAGGGGGAGGAGTACCAGGAGGAGGAGGAGGAGGAGGAGGAGGAGGAGGAAGAGGAGGAGGAGGAGGAGGAGGACGAGGACGAGGAGGAGGAGGAGGAGGGGGGGGGAGAGTACCAGGAGGAGGAGAACGAGGACCACCAGGAGGAGGAGGAGGAGGAGGAGGAGGAGGAGGAGGAGGAGAGAACACCAGGAGGAGGAGGACGAGCAAGACGAGGAGGACGAGAACGAGGACGACCAGGAAGAGGAGGAGGAGGAGGAGGAGGGGAGGGGGAGGACTACCAGGAGGAGGAGGAGGAGGAGGAGGAGGAGGTGGAGGAGGAGGAGGAGAGGAGGAGGAGGACGAGGAGAAGGAGGAGAGGATGAGGGAGGAAGGGAGGAGGAAGGACGAGGAGAGGAGGGGAGGACGAGGAGGAGAGGGAGGGAGAGCACCAGATGAGGCAGAGAGGACCACCAGGGAGAGGAGGAGAGGAGGGGAGGAGGAGGGGAGGAGAGAGCCACCAGGAGAGCGGACAGCAGACGAGGAGGACGAGACGCGAGCAGGGGAAGAGGAGGAGGAGGAGGAGCAGGAGAAAGAGGAGGAGAGGAGGAGGCAGGCTGAGGCTGAGGCTGTGACTGCGACTGCCGTTGCCGCTGCGACTGTCATCGCGAATGCGACTACGACTGCGAGAACAGCAGAATTCGACAACTGGATTTTACCTAACAGCGAAGACTGATAGGTTTCTAGTTGACTCAAAAGAGCTCACAGATCACTCCACAGGGGGGTCCGGGCAAGTGTTGGGAGTTGCCGGGCGGCAGGTGCCGGGCTCGTTTTTCGCCAACAGTCACACACTTCGTGCTCTTCGATTTCCCAGAACTCCATTCCCAGGCCACATTCTGAACATTCTGACTACCCGGATGCAACAGTCCACACTTCGTGCTCTTCGAGAAAAAAATAAAAGAAAATAAATCCAGAAACGCTCCCGGGCACATTCTGAGGGCCCGTATGCAACATTCACACACGCACACTTTCGTGCTCTTCTATTTCCCAGAACTCCATTCCCGGGCCACATTTTGGATGCCCGGAGCCAACTGTAGGCCACTTCGTGCTCTTCTATTTCCAGAACTCCATTCCCGGGCCACATTTTGGATGCCCGGAGCCAACTGTAGGCCAATTCGTGCTCTTCGAGTTCCCAGAACTCCATTCCCGGGCCACATTTTGAATGCCCGGAGCCAACTGTAGGCCACTTCGTGCTCTTCGAGTTCCCAGAACTCCATTCCCGGGCCACATTTTGAATGCCCGTAGCCAACTGTAGGCAACTTCGTGCTCTTCGACTTCCCAAAACTCCCATTCCTGGGCTACATTTTCCGCAGGGGCAAGAGCACGACGAGGGGGAGGACGAGCAAGACCAGGAGGACGAGGACGAGCAGGAGCATACGAGAGCAGGAGGACAGGAGAAAGAAGGACAGCAGGAGGGGAGGAGGACGAGCAGGAGGAGGAGGACGACAGTAGGAGGAGGACGCGCAGGAAGAGGAAGGAGGATGAGGAGAGGAGTAGGGGAGGGGAGGAGTACCGGAGGAGGAGAGGAGAGGATGAGGAGAGGAGAAGAGGAGGAGGAGAGGAGGAGGAGGAGGACGAGGACGGGAGGAGGAGGAGGAGGGGGGGGGAGAGTACCAGGAGGAGGAGAACGAGGACCACCAGGAGGAGGAGGAGGAGGAGGAGGAGGAGGAGGAGGAGAGAACACCAGGAGGAGAAGGACGAGCAAGACGAGGAGGACGAGAACGAGGACGACCAGGAAGAGAGGAGGAGGAGGAGGAGGAGGAGGGGAGGGGGAGGACTACCAGGAGGAGGAGGAGGAGGAGGAAGAGGAGGAGGAGGACGAGGAGGAGGAGGAGGAGGACGAGGAGGAGGAGGGGGGGGAGAGCACCAGGAGGAGGAGAACGAGGACCACCAGGAGGAGGAGGAGGAGGAGGAGGAGGAGGAGGAGGAGGAGAGAGCACCAGGAGGAGGAGGACGAGCAAGACGAGGAGGACGAGAACGAGGACGAGCAGGAGGAAGAGGAGGAGGAGGAGGAGGAGGAGGAGGAGCAGGAGAAAGAGGAGGAGGAGGAGGAGGAGGCAGGCTGAGGCTGAGGCTGTGACTGCGACTGCCGTTGCCGCTGCGACTGTCATCGCGAATGCGACTACGACTGCGAGAACAGCAGAATTCGACAACTGGATTTTCATCTGAATCTTAAGGGGAATGCTTTCAGATATGCTTCTACACATCGCTGTTAGGTTGCTCTGCCGGGATAATTACTTTGCAAGAGTTTCACGGATTGAGGGCGAGTGGTTTTCAAAATGTGGTCCCCGCTTTAGCGCCGCGCACATTCGACTTAGACATTTGAAAGAGTTTCACGGATTGAGGGCGAGTGGTTTTCAAAATGTGGTTATCGCCGTAGCGCCGCGCACATTCGTCTTAAAAAATGTAAGAGCTTCACGGATTCAGGCCAGTTCCTTCTCAAAATGTGGTTCTCGCCTTAGCACCGCGCACATCCGTGTTAAGAAATTGCACAAGTTCCACGGGTTCCCATGACCAACGTACCAGAAATGGTTTTGGAAGAACTCAGGCTTATGAGGGTGCACAAGTTATCTTGATCCAGGGGTGTTGAAGTCCCAGGAACGACGTTCTGGCACGATTCAGGACCGTCAAGACGCAACAATCAGGTTGATCCGTGGCGTTGGAATCCCGAGAAGAATGTTTTTGCATGCTTCAGGGCACTTCAAGCAGCAACGAGGCAGTTCCCTCCGAAAAAACGAGCCGCTGTAGGGGCCTATGAAGAGGTGGCTTGGGGGGAGGGTCTATTCCAACATCGTTGATGCCTTTTGGGTTTGCACTGGTCCTCCTCCTCCGCCGCCTCGCCGCCTCCTCCAGCCTCGGCGGCTCAAGGCCCGGAGCCAGCCAGGCGCAAAGCGCCAGGCTCGGCGGCAGAGGTGCGCCGCCCTTCCGTGGGCCCCCGAAGACCGCACACGCGGCCAGGCTGCGGGCGAGCCGATCCCTCAGCTGCGCGACGGCGGCTGCGGTCCCAGGGCCGCGCCGCCCAGCCGCACCCCGCCCTCGGCCCAGGCAGGGGGTGGGGGCGGCCACGACAGCGAGCAGCGGGCAGAGGAGGCGCCGCTGCGGGCACGGCGTGGGGCGGCCGGGTGAGCTGACCCCGCGGTTGCGCGACAGCGGTTGCTGTCCCAGGCGCCCCGCCCACTTCGAGGGAAGAAACACGGGGACCATGTGCAAGATGTCCCGGGATCTTGTCGATGCCGATCTTGGTCTCTATCCCCACAAGTGGATCGTATTGATAGGCCCTCAGATGGCGGCAGCCGTGGCTGCCAGAGGGGCTCCGTCCCCATTGCATCCGACCGAGGGCTGTGCTGGAGGTCGATCGAAACCCAAAGTGCGACCTCCCGCGTGCGATCATCGATGGAATAACTAGGGGGACCACGACCAAGATGTCGCGGGATCTTGTCGATACCGATCTCGGTCATGGTCCATGTCGGCTGTGCCAGTTCGCGAGAACGATCCACGACTTGGCGCTGACCAAGATTGGCGATGGC